CAGCCCCAATAACTTTATTTAGATATTTAAACATATAAGACACTGGAGGCATAATACATTCATTCCCCACCAGTATACAACTTCATATACTTTATTTTTTGGTCGGAGGACTGAACCCAGGGGCAATTAACCACTGAGCCACATCCCCTGTCTTTTTGTTTATTTCATTTTTTAAATATTTTTTAAAAAATAGTAGATGAACACAATACCATTTTTAAAAAAAATGTGGTGCTGAGAATTGAACCCAGTGCCTCACGCATGCTAGGCGAGCACTCTACCAACTGAGCTATAACCCCAGCCTGTACCCAGTTTTTTAAAAATTTTATTTAGACAGGGTCTCACTGAGTTGCTTAGGGCCTCGATAAGTTGTGGAAACTGGCTCTGAACTTAGAATCCTCCGGTCTCAGCCTCCTGAGTCACTGGATTACAGGCATGTGCCACTGTGCCCAGCTACATACTTTAGTTCTATCAAGTTTGAGGCCAGTCTCAACAAAGTGAAGCCCAAAGCAATCTGGAAAAACGGTCTCAAAAAAAAAAAAAGGTTGTGTGTGTGTGTAGGAATATGGCTCAGTGGTTATGCACACCTGGAATCAATTCCCAATACCAAAATATATAAATAAATCTATAAAATCTATCACAATCTATCCACACAGTAAACAAAAAGTTTAATACAACGTATTCTGTATTTTGATAGTGAAATTACTGGATGCAACAATTCTCCATTTAAGAACTCAGATGAGGCCAGATACAGTGGGTGATGCCTGTAAGTAATCCAAGGCTGAGATAGGAGGATCACAAGTTCAAAGGCAGCTTCAAAACTTAGTGAAGCCCTAAGCAATTTAGCAAGAACCTGTCTTGAAATAAAAAGGGTTGGCTAGTAATTCCAGTAGCTCCAGAGGCCAAGGAAGGAGGATTAGGAGTTCAAAGCCAGCCTCAGGAACAGTAAGGTGCTAAGCAACTCAGTGAGACCCTGTCTCTAAATAAAATACAAAATAGGGCTGGGGGTGTAGCTCAGTAGTCAATCCCCCCAAGTTCAATTCCTGGTACCAAAAAGGCAGGGGGAGGGGGCTGGCCATGTGGCTCAACGGCTAAGTGCTCCTGGGTTCAGTCCAGGCACCAAAACAAAAACTATAAACTGTGAGCAATGGTGCACACCTTTAATTCCAGCTATTGTAAGGTGAGACAGGAGGATCCCCCAAGTTGAAGAACAGCCTGGGTAGTACTGGGATGTGGCTCAGTGGTCGAATGCCCCTGAGTTCAATCCCCAGTGCCAAAAACCAAACAAAAAAAAACTAAGTTGACTCGAAACAATTGATATTACAAAGGTATGGTTTTCCTAAAATAGGATATCACTAACTACCTAAAACCCCTAAATGATATAGGCATCTAAATTTTTAAAGTGCAAAAATTAAAAAGGTCGATCTTAATAAAACAGTCACTTTGCACACATGTGATTTTGTCATTTTTAGTTAATGTTTTCTAGTTAAAGTCTAACTGAGCAAGAAAGAAGAAAATCCAGTTACCAGGTTACAGCGGTTAGGAAATCAACACTGAACAAAGGCCAACATCATTTACTCTTTTCTACCTTAAAGAAATTAACCATATACAATATGCTATGACAATTTATTTTGAAGGCTAAAACTGATCATTTTATTTGGGGGGTTTAATCCTACTGAATGATATAGCAAAATAAGATTTTAAAATTACAGAGAATCAAGAGTATGTTTCCAGAAAATGTATTGAAACACACAGGCACAAAAGTAAGTAAAACTAGGGGGCTGGGGACATAGCTCAGTTGGTAGAGTGCTTACCTTTCATGTACAAGGCCCTGGGTTCAATCCCCAGCACCACAATTAAAAAAAAAAAAAAAACAATCAAAAGTAAGTAAAACTAGCTCATCACCCATTGTTAACTGCTCCTACAAGGTAATAATTTATAAGGAAGTGCAAAGTAGCACTCCCTACATTAGGTTGATGCAAGGTCTTTTTGTGTGGGGGACGAGGTGTGGCAGGGATTCAACCGAAGGCCTCCCCCATGCTAAATGGGCACTCTACCAGAGCTACACAACAACCCTATTTTTTAAATCTTGTGGCAGTTTCTAAGTTGCCTGGAAGCTTGTCATTCTCATGCCTCAGCCATGTTCAATGTCTGCCAAGGTTTTTTATTTGTGTGTGTGTGTGTGTGTATGTGTCTGTGGTACTGGGGATTGAACATGTGAGGGCATTGTGCATGTGAAGCAAGCACTCTACTAATTGAGCTATATCCCCAGCCCTGCAAAATCTTAAATGAAGAGATGTATTAAAACTCCAGTTTTCAGGGCTAGAGATGTAGTACAGAGATAGTGCTTGTCCAACATGGAGACTCTAAGGTTAAATCCACAGAAGAAAAAAAGGGGGGGGGGGACAACCTTCTCAAAGGTAGATATGAAATCAGGAGACTTTCACATAAAGTACTTGAAAAAACTTGTAATCTAACAATTTCAAGTAGAAAAATCAGGAAGTTTCTATATAGGGAGAAAAAAAAAATCTCCAAACCCTCAAGACTTTCAGCATAAATCTCTCCACCTCTAAAAAACTTCCTAACACCCAGGCATGGTGGCACATGTCTGTAATCCCAGTTTGGGAGGCTGAGACAGGAGGATCCTGAATTCAAAGCCAACCTCAGCAACAGGGAGGTGCTAAGCAACTCAGTGAGACCCTGTCTCTAAATAAAATACAAAATAGGCTGGGGATGTGGCTCAGTGGCTGAGTGTCCCTCAGTTCAATCCCTAGTACCCTCCACCCCCCCACACACACATGAAACCACAACTTCATAACAGACATCAACAAATTAAACTCTTATCAGATGGATTCTTTGTAGAATTTATGACCTATTACAGGTCTCTTCCAATCCAAATAACTGACTCCTAAGATTCAACTCATCTAAGCCAATAGCTGGATAAGATGGCCTTAAGAGTTTACAAGATAACACATACTGAGCACTTTTAAAGAAATACACCTGGTCTCTTCAACAGAGCAAAAATGAAGGTAAGGAGAAAATGCTTTTGGGACTATTGATTGCTACACCTTTCATATATTTACATACCTTGACATTTTACTTATTAACTGATGTCCAGAAAGTGTTTTAAATCAAGCCACTTCAAACATAATATTCTTCATGAAAAGATATCTTGACTACTATTAAATTGGTTATGCTTTATCCAAAAATTCACCTTCTCCTTACATCAATTTTCAAATTATAAAAGGCATTTTAGCCATGCACAGTGGCACCGGCCTATAATCCCAGAGGCTCAGGAGACTGAGGCAGAATGATCAAAGGAAGCTTCAGCAACTAGGAAGGACCTAAGCAACTTATGGAGTTCCTTCTCCAAAAAAAAAAAAAAAAAAAAAGAAGGGGGGTTAAGACAGAGAATCCTTGCCACATAATTTTTTTTTTTGGTATGTGGTGCTGGCAATTGAACCCAGGACCACCTTGTGCATTCAAGGCAAGAACTCTACCAAATGAGCTATATCCCCAGCCCCCTCTTCTGCTTTTCCTTTCAAAATTTAATGTATCAGGACTACATTAGCATAAGATATAAATTTATATTTTCTTAAAAAGTAAACTCTAGAGGCTGGGGATATAACTTGATTGGTAGGGTGCTTGCCTCGAATGCACAAGGCCCTGGGTTCAATCCCCAGCAGCACACACGCACACAAAAGTAAACTCTACTAGAAGTCACTCTGGAGGGAGTTGGGAATCCTGGAAAAGTTCTGATATTCACCCTTATTCATAGAAATAAAGGTTTTCTCCTGGCAGGCTCAGCCATCAACTGACTGCAGTGTATCTCAAACTTACTTATTTAGATTTCTAGCCTTATAAAATACATAATTAAATCCTGGAAAGTAATTTGCTTTCTATAGAAAAACATTGTTCTCCATAGTGACTTGAGTTAATCCTCCTCACTATAAAATCTCACATTTGAAAAACTAAAAGCTTTTCAGGAGAACGTAAGGCCTGGAAAACAGTGCCAAGAATTCTTAATTGGTTAAAATCACTGAGGTTTTCCTTTGTCATAATTAAGATCGCTATCTTTACCTGGAACTTGGAATGTGGCTCAATGGTAAAGCATTTGCCTACCATGTGCGGGCCTGGGTTTGATCCCAAGCACCGCAAAGGAAAACACACTACCAACGAACCTGCAATAAACATAAACTTAAGCACTTTATAAAGGTCATTATATTACCTGTTCCATCCTTACATTGAGAAGATAATGAAACCTCACTTAAAGTTTAACGTGGAACACAGAAAACGTCCACACATATTTTTCCAACTCGACCTGGTAACTTCTCGCTCCCAGGGAAGCGGCTGAATTTGGGCAAACTTCATTATTTTCAAGAAACTGGAGTTAGGAAACGTCCTGGAAGGACCCACATTCAAGAAACCAAGACACAGGAGAGGAAGTAACTTGTGGAGACTGCATGCCTCCCTCAAGTTGCCTAGCAGTACCTGCCGCTCACGGCGGAGGGCCGCGTGGTGCAATACCAGGAACAACATCAGCTTCAGATGGCACCCACCACGGGTACCCTTGACCCAAGGCCTGGCCGCGGCATGAAGAAGCGGCAGGACCTGAGTGCCCACGCCTCCAGAGCGCCCGCTCCGCAAAAGCTCACAGGAGCTCAGGACCCAGGGCTAAGTTAGGAGTTACGAGCGACCCGTATGGCAGGAGGTAGAAAAAGTGAGCTTTCTGCCAGGGTCGGGGCCGCCAAGGGACGGTTTAGAGGTGGGGGAAGCAGACATCTGGAGGAAAAAATGTCCTCCACCAGCCAACGGTAACCGGAACAAGGATCCCCGGACCTCCCACCCCCAGGAAGGGACGACTGCCCCCCACTGAGGAGAATGAGCCTAAGGGGCCGCAAGCGGGGGGAGGGCAGAGAGCCACTTCCCGGCAGCTCAGGAGCCACCAGAGCGGCCTCGGCCTCACTCCGGGCGACCTTCCCGCGGCGGGATGTCGCACTCACATTGTGAACGGGGCAGGGGGACGGGCGAACGGGTGGGCGGGCCTCTCCGGCGGCGGCGGCTGGGGAATCGGCTCCTCTCCGATGGCGACTCCGGCGTTTTCTCCCCAATCGCGGCCTCTAGTCGCTCTCCTTAGGCGACGGCGGCAGCGGGCTCGACCTAGATCCCCAGAATGCACCGCGCGAAGAGAGCGGCTCTTCGACCGGGGAGAAGAGGAAAGTGTAGGAAAAGGGGCGCGAGGACGGAGAAAGAACGTGCGTGCGTGCGAGCGAGGGGTGGTGAGGCCGGGCGGCGGCTGGTGACGCAGCAAAATGCCCGGGCCCTGTAGCCGCGCGTGCGCAGTCTTTGTTTTCGGGCTCCTGCGCGGCTTTCTAGAGATATCTACGGAAAGGGCGGGGCCACCCTGCTCCTTCGCGATCCTTCCCGGCGCGGGCCCCGCCCTTCGCCCTCTCACCCCCTCCGGTGGCTGACTAGTTCCCGCCTCTCCTCCCGCTCTCCCCTCTCGCGTTAGAAAACCGTTGGCTGCCTAACCGCCCGGCCACGCGCCTTTGGCGATTTCCCTGACCAAAGGGCTGCGTTTGCTCTGAGAGTAAGGTTAAAGCCCAGGGATGCAAAGTTGGGGGACTAGATGAGTCAAGCGGGGCATTGGTTACTCTTGAGTGGATAAATGAGGCCACTGAGGAAACAGTCCATCGCAAAAAGATGTGAAAAGACTGTGCTCGTGAAATTTGCGGAAAAGGGCTAACTTCAGAATCGAGGGCCTGGGCCCACCTCGCCGGTTTCTGAAGATTGGGGACACTGTCCAGGGCAGCGAAAGCGCCAGGACTTTGGCTGAGAAGGAGCGTTTGCCTTTGGGGGCGGGTTTTGGCCTCTATTTTGAGACCTGAGTGCTGTAGGTGAGACAGGAAGGCTATTTGAGGGGAGTCTCATACTAAACTCGGGGTTTCCACGCACATCTTTGCGGTGCGGCTGCCCACCTGTCCGTCTGTTTTAAACTATTGGGTCTTGGACTGTGTCTTCATGTAACGCACTGGGATAAGGTCTGGTGTGGGAGAGTAACCAAGAGAAGCAAAGCTGCCGGCTAACCGGAGTAAGGGAGTAGTCAGTACTCAAGGAGACTGGGGGAAAGCGCATTTATGGAAAACCGGGCGCTGTGGGGCAAGCCTGTAATCCCAGCGGGTCTGGAGCCTGAGGCAGGAGTATCATACGTTCAAAGACAGCCTCGGCAACTTAGCGAGACATAAAAACTGCAAAGGAACAGGGATGTCTAAAAAAACTATATGATGGAGCACCCCTAGGTTCACATTCCCCAGTACAAAAAAAAAAAGAGTTTGTAAAGGGCTAGGGATGTAGCTCAGGACTAATGTATGTTTGCCTGGCAGGCTGGAGACCCTGATTTCAGCCCCCAGCACTGCCAAAAAATTTTGAAAACAAGGTTTGGGGCGTCTTTTTAATACGGTACTTATGGTTTTAGATACTGTGCAGTTTGGTTCCTAGGCTCAAATTGACAATTTAGAAAGACCCTGTTTCAAGATAATAAAAGGGTTTTAAATATTTAAACTCTAAAGAGCCTGCTACCATTTGAGGAAGACAAAAATACAAAATCAACTGGTTGCTATAATGGAAGTACAAAAAGTAATGAGAGCATAAAGTGAAGTCTATCTTGGATGGAAGAATCAGGACAGGTCTTAAAAAAGTTATCCAGCTGGGCATGGTGGCACAGGAGGCTGAGGCCAGAGGATTCTGCTTAAAGCCAGCCTCAGCAATTTGGTTGAGATCCTATCTCTAAATCAAATATAAAAAGGGCTATGGGAGCTGGGGTTGTGGCTCAGTGGTGGAGCGCTTGCCTCGAATGCGTGAGATACTGTGTTTGATTCTGAGCACCACATATAAACAAAATAAAGGCCCATCAATGTCTAAGAAAATATTTTTAAAAAGGGCTGGGGATGTGATTCAGTGGTTACACTTCTGGGTTCAACCCCTGGTACAAAAAAAAAAATTATCCAGCTTGGAGCAGTTAGCGCCAGCCTATTCTGGAGGCTGAGGAAGGAGGATAAATTCAAAGCCAGCCTTGACAATTTAGAAAGACCCTGTTTCAAGATAATAAAAAAAAATGGGGGGGCTGGGGATGTAACTCCATGGTTGAATGCCTGCCTATTATGTGCAAGATCCTGGGTTCATCCCCAGTACCACCTAAATAAGGGCTGAGGATGTAGCTCAATGGTAAAATGGTCCTACCTTTAGTCAGGGATGGGGATGAGGGGTCTGTATCCAAGACATGGATGGAAATAAGGGTGCCTAGGAAGTTGATTAATCTTCTTGACCTCAGATTAATTCTCAAGAAGGTACCTGTTTCCACTTTGCTAATTATAATGTAGATCTTAGACATGAAATTGTAGATTTCTGTCTCATACAGAAGCTGACTATGAGGCCCCACGTTGGGGTGCATGCCTGTAATCCCAGTTGTCTGGGAGGCCGAGGCAGGAGGATTGGGAGTGCAAAACCAGCCTTAGCAATTTAGTGAGGCCCTAAGCAACTCGGTGATACCCCCTCTCTAAAGTAAAAATGCAAAATAGGGTTGGGAATGTGTGGCTCAGTGGGTGGTCGAGTGGCCCAGAGTTCAATCCCTGGTTACACCCCCCCCAAAAAAAAAAAAACTATGAAACTACCAATTTATTGTTTATTACTCTGTAGTCAATGAACCAGTTTTGTTTACAACCTTATTCTGGATTCTTTTTATTCCTGTAAATACCTTGTTCCTTAAATGTTCATAGAACAAACTTTACTATTTTACTGGTTTAGTCAATTGAATTAAATATTTGGCTTACTATTTGTGTTTGGGGGGGAGGCTTTTCATTTGTTTTTAAATTCTATTTTGACAGCCTTATATAAGGATCAACAGAATCCCCACCCAACCCCATCCACCCCCTTTCAGTATCAGGAAGAGAACCTCGGGTATTCTACTGACCTACATTATGTCCCCAGCCCTTTTTTGTTCTGAGTTTGTCTACCTAAAAGTTGTCCAGGCTGGCTTTGAACTTGTAATTCTCCTGCTTCAGCCTTATAAGTACAAACATTACATCTCTCCCTCAATTCTGCTGTGGGGACAGATATTTTATCCCCCGCCCCTTACATCAGAAATCTTGAAAGGTGAGAAGATGAAAAAGAAACAGAAGTATGTGTTAGTCAATGGTTAGCCACATTTTTTTTTATAAGGGGAAGATTAAGGCTACAAAATAATTTACAACTCTGCTACAGTGGTACGAAACCAAGACAGTATGTAAACAAATGAGGGTAGTTGTATTTAATAAAGCTATTTAATGATGTTGAAATATGAATTATTTTTCTCATGTCACAAGATATTCTTTTTTTCCCCAACTATTTAAAAATGTAAAATAAGTTAGACAAAAACAACAGGGTGGGATAGATTCGGTCATACAGTTTGCCAACCTCTGACCTAAGCAGCCCAGAGTGTAGCAAGATCATTACCAAATTAATGGTGGCACTTAATATCAGACTGATTGTGTACAACTTAAATCTTTGGCAATGGGAAGCTACTTTTTTTTTATTTTTTTAAGGTAGAGGACTAATACTCTTGTGCTCTATAAAGATTAATCTGGCAACAAATATAAAATGGATTTAAAATGGAGGAATCTAAGATATCATTTACAAGACTGAAACCCCACTGACAAATTCCTTTCTCAGAAGTGCTGAACTAGGCATGGTGGCACATACCTGTGACTCCCAGTGGCTTGGGAGGCTAAGGCAGGAAGATCCCAAGCTCAAAACCAGCCTCAGCAAGACCCTGTTTTTTGTTGTTTTTTTTTTTTAATATTTTTTAGTTGTAATTGGACACAGTACCTTTATTTTATTTATTTTATGTGGTGCTGAGGATTGAACCCAGGGTTTTGCACGTGCTAGGCGAGCACTCTACCACTCAGCCACAACCCCAGCCCCAAGACCCTCTCTTTAAATAAAATATAAACAAGGGCTCAGTGACTAAGCATCCCTGGGTTTAATCCCTGGTACAAAAAAAAAAAAGTGCTGAAGCTGGGCACAATGGTACATATCTACCCCTGTGAAATCCCAGAGACTCAGGAGGCTGAGGCAGGAGGATCACAAGGTAAACACCAGCATGGAAAATTTAGTGAGACCTTGTCTCGAAACAAAAATGGTCTGGGGATATACCTCAGTGGTAGAGCACCCCTGAGTTCAATCCCCAGTAAAGCCAAAAATTAAAAGTGTTATAGGGTTGAGGTTATGGCTCAGTGGTAGAGCTCTTTCCTTGCACATTGAGGCCCTGGGTTCGATCCTCAGCACCACATAAAAATAAATAAAATAGAGGTTTTGTGTCCAACTACAACTAAAAAAGTGTTGTAGCCAGGCACCTGTAGTCCCAACTACTGGGGATACTGAGGCAAGAGTCTCCTAGTTTGAAGCTAAGTGGGCAATTTAGGGAGATCCTGCCTGTTTAAAAAAAAATGCTGTGGGTAAAAACTGCTTTTTCACACAGCATTTTTAAAAATTCAGGACAACTGCATCCTAATCCATAATTTATTACTTCCCTGTCCCCTATTGGTTTATTTACCTCCCCAATTCAGGGGTACTGGCAGTTGAACTCGTGGGCACTCAACCACTGAGCCACATCCCCAGCCCTATTTTGTACCTTATTTAGAGACAGGGTCTCACTGAGTTGTTTAGTGCCTCACTAAGTTGCTGAAGCTGGCTTTGAACTCTCAACCCTCCTGCCTCAGCCTACCAAGCTGCTGAGATTACAGGCATGCACCACCATGCCTGATCCAATTCATACTTTGCTAAACATATTTCAAGGGATTTCAAGTTAGAATGGTTCTGGAAATGGCTTCTCTCCCCAAGTTTATAGTTCATAAGCAGGTTTATTCATGCCTTTAGATGTTTTCTCAATCCTTAGCTGGTAGAAACCAAGTTGTGCTGGGTTTCTTTTTCAAATTACTAAAAAGCTCAGTTTCTAATAGGATAAAGATCCAGATTAAAACCTCTTATGGTATCACTGCTTTTAGCAGAGAAATCTGCAATTTGGATTGCAGGACACTAGAAAATATTTGGCACAAACATTAGATGCCATTTCCAAATTTAATCCTGACAGTCTTCTGAAAGAAAAGAAACTACCTGGTCAAATTTAATTTTTTTTCATACCTATAGGAAGCTGAGGTAGTAGAAGTGCCTGAGTTCACAAGTTTTTGACCAGCCTGGGCAATATTTCAAGAACCCATCTCAAAGAAAAAAAAATTAAATGTAGAAACATTCTGTCATTTACAATTGTAGTATCCAGCCATGCAGACCTGAAATCCTGGTGACTCAGGAGGCTAAGGCAGGAGGATTGCAAATATGAAGTCAGCCTCATTAATTTAGTGAGATCTTGTCTGAAAAAAAAATTTTTA